CTCTCTCTCTCTCTCTCTCCTCTCTCTCTCTCTCTCTCTCTCTCTCTCTCTCTTCCACTCACACGACTCTCTTTTCATCGATCTTCCGGATTTTCAAAATGCATATCGTTACGGCTCGTTAGACGCTGCGCGCCACCGGACTGATAGCCGAAGTGCCCCGGAGCGCGGCAGATGGTCGAATATTCTGATAGGAATAATAGGTAAATGGTGGGTATGCTACAGCCAAACGTTTAGATATCACTACCGATTATACGCGTCAGAGAAGAAAAGGGCGAAATAATCCATTTTGCAGATTGAAGTCATCATTGGTTTTTAAGATTTTGACGCATGCGAGCGACGTCATCGTGCATGCATCATCGTCGAGTCATCGGCGCGTTATATTCCGATGTGTTTGGCTATTTGGTGGATGACGTCGGCGCGGCGCGCATCCCCGGTTAGGACCGCAGTATTTAATTCGTGCTTCATAAATCGAGGGTATTCGTGCGGGACCGGACGTTCGTAAGTCAGAGTCCATTGGGCCGGTGGACCACCTTGTCGCGGCGCGGCGGAGCGTGGGCTCCAGACGCTCCGTGCGCCACGTTAGCCGCCGGTACAACCTTAAGTCTGCCTCTCCTTGTTCTTGCTCTTGTTTTCGCTCATGACCATCGCCCATGCCGCCCCCTAATCCCCCTTCACGCTCGTGGCGAATCTCGGTGCTCTCGCAGCGGGGCCCGACGCCGCGCGGCGCCCTGGCGTCCTTCGCGTTCGCTTCGCTTTGATCACATTCGTCCGGCCGCGAACAGCGCCGAACCTCGCGTAGGCATTCAACCTTTCCTCGTTACCCGGTCGCAGGCACGATTATGATTTGTTGACCTGGACCACCGTGCCGGAGTCGGGCCACCGCGGGATACGATGCCAACATTCTCGAGATCCCGGATGGAAGCCGCGAAGTCGAGAATCTTCTTCTCGCTGGCCTTCACGACCGCGGAAACGATGCATGCGTGTGGGAATCGTGATATTTCTGTCTTCATCTCCGCATGTTGCATGCTTAATGAATACATGATGCCGTTGCGCGCGATCGCGAAATGATACTGAGAAAATATTTAATCTTTGGTGTTTAATCTCGGCAATTTGTTTCATGAAAACCTTGACGTTATTGATAAAAACAGCGATTTTTAATTAATTTCTTTCGTTATATTTCCTGGAGCCATGCAGAATATAATTATGAATTTTGAGCGGCGTATATTAAATGGCATTTGCGATTTCGTGCAACATATATATGTACGTACGTAAACAGAATGTCGCAGATCTGCAACAAAAACGAGCGTACAAACACTCATAAAAATTATTCGTGTAAGGATTTGCGTAAGAAACAGGATGCGGTAATTATTAACAAGCACGCTACTTTAAAAAATTATTTTGCCGCAATGAAGGAAGGCCTCGTGTAACTTTTAATTTAATCGCGCCAACGGAATAATCGTATCCGTGCGCATCCTAGGCGACATACAAAGGTAATAATCCTAATTATTATTACGCACTTAATAATAGTTGTGTAATATGTCGAGTTAGGATCGGGAATGCTTTGCACGCTGCAAATAGTTAGCGTTCTTGTTGCGAGCGTGTGCCTACGCTATTTCTTGAAATATCTGCGATCGGATTAATGCCTACCATATTTGTGCACGTAATCATTTAATAATATATCATTTATACGCTGTTATCTTACTTTGGCATAATGTTTCCGGCGTGGATTCACGCACCGTAGGAAACTCCTACGCGAAATAAAATATAATTAGATAAGACAGAATAGACACTATTGCATCTTTATGCAACGTCTCTATTCGTTAGCTAAAAGTCCGAAACGTTTTCGTGGTTCCCATGACGCGAGAGGAGCGGATCTTCTCTCCCGTACGCGTCTCTCGTGGCGTCTTCGTCCCCGCCCCACCTCAGATGTCGGTTTCAGTGGTCACAGTGGCTACACACCCCGACGATAAACTCGAGAATTCGCCACGCCGGTGCTGGCGACCCGACGCGGCTTCCCCAACGTGCGCCAATGGAAAACCGAAGCAGAACCGTTGCGGTATTAACATGAGAACACCGTGACGAACCGATTCGGCACACCATACTCCCTCGGATCTCTTTATTACGCGAAATTCCTTTTTTGCTCGCCTACGTAAACTCGCCCCGTTGAAAAGGCACACGGCTCTCGTACCATTGTTGGAGCCGCGGACAATGGTCGAAGTAACCGATGGCTTGTGGGAATTTCGCGTTGGAAGATGATAATGCTTGAGAATCTGATATTCCAATTAGTAATTAGTGATTTTTTTTACCTCATTTTGCTCTCTCTCTCTCTCATTTTTTCCGTTTATCTCTTTATATTCAGCTGTTCGTTTTCGTGAAGATGTAAATTTCGCAATTGAGTCTTTTAAGCGTCACGACACGTTGCGTTGCCGTGCTCTCGACACGCGATGATCATCGTCACCCGTCGTGTCGTCGATGCCGAGAGGAAAAGAAGCAGAACCGGTGGGCGGAAAGGGAAAGGGGAGGGAAATGGCGAGCCGGCGGCGGAGCGACCAGGGGAGATTGCGCGCGCGAGGACATCACGAAGCGGAACCCAAACGTCGGCCGGAAGTCGCCGGTCACGTGGCTTAGGCAACACGCAATTGTGTCCGGTATAATAGAGCGCATCGGCTCTATCTGTCCGTGGAAACGTAACACGCTCTCTCCCAGGGCAATTCAGGAGTAGCTTATTGATTTATGCTCTCCTGACGGATCTGTCGTTCATTCTCTCTCTCTCTCTCTCTCTCTCTCTCCCGTTGTGCATTCGTGTGTATATCGCTGTGTCGAAACGTGGCTCCCATCGGACGTTGACTAACCCTCTCATGCTCATCTCGATAGGGGTAGCGTCGCGTTAAGAGATCGAAGCGGCAGAGAACGGTTCCTCCCGGAAGATAGAAGTTATTGGCTTTACTAACCGCAACTGGTCCGTGGAAGTAAAGGGGGAATTAAACGTTACTGGGGTCAAACACGATGCCAAATGATAACACGAATGCGCAAAGATATGTACACGCTTGTATCGAAGAGTAAACAGAATATAAATCAAGGATAAACGCGTATTAATACGTTTACTGTCCGAGTCTGTAAATATAGATATTATTTGTACGTACAGAAAAGCGATAAACGTTTTAAGGTAAATAATTTTTAGTAAGATTTTTTTTATAAACACTAAGAGTCGGAAAAGTAGAAAGAAGCAAATAAATATTGAAGCGGATACCACGCTATCGAGAATCGCTATTGCAAAATAAGATTCCGGGGTACAGCAAGTGCGAAACCGTCAGCTTTTGTGAAACCGCGAAAGCGAGCCGTTGCTGAGAATGCGAGGAGATTAGTTGCCGGTGTGCCGGTGTTTAAATCCGCGGTAGGTTCAGCTTGGGGCGGTAATAAAGCGCGGCTCGCGCGAGCGAGTGTTGCGCGAGCTCTGGAAATGCCGCTACTCTCGGGCACCGTGTTGCAGAATTACGAGAAACTTCCTGAGAGATGTTGGTGGTAACGATGTTGCAAATTACCCACGCGAGACGCGCAGAAACACGCGCGCACTACGCCGCGGCTGTACATTAGGCGCGATTACGAGCGTTGTTATGGAAGTAAACGTTGTAATTGGAAAGCTGAAGCATGATAACGCAACCTGACAGTGTAATGGATGCTATCATGCTTTGTCAAAAGTTAATAGTCTTAATTGCAATACCTTGTTAATCTTGTTAATCTTGTTGACGGTCCTCGTTTCAATTAAGAACAGATTAAAGCAAAAATTTAGGATGGAAAAAAATAATATTTTATAGAAAGTTCCTGTACGTTTAAGTAGAGATAAGTGATTGGAAAAAATACTGCGAACAAACAAAAGAAGTTCTGAAGTACGCATCTTCCGCAAAGAAAGATCTTTCTTTCGATATTACACATTGTACATCGATCGCGCGCAAAGCTGCTCGCGATATTGACAGTTACGCGTTATTTGGACACGCTGGTATACGCATGCATCCGACATTTGCATACCTGATTATATGTCGAGACTCGATCGAATTGCCGTTCGCACGGTTGGAAGTGAGCCGGACAGCAATTATATCTTTATATACCTGTCGTACGCCTTTCGTACTTACGTGTCGATACCGCGCGGATAATTCTTAATTTTTATGATCGAAATTATGAAGCCGGACAGTTCGCGCATTTCTTTTCTTGAACCGCCTTTCGACCGAATTTCGATGCACTTTCGATACGAGGCAGACATATTATTTATCGGCCGTGTTACATGTTCAGTTTTCTCGCTCACCACACACAGCGTAATTCTGATCGCGATATTTTGCGAATTATAGTCTGGTGGCGACAAACTGCGAACTGCACCGTATAATCGTTTATAAGTCGATATAAAAATACTCAATCAGTTAAACGTCTCTGCTTTTACATCGGCGCTTTCACATCTTACACATTTTTTTTCCATCGATCTTCACACGAAGGTG